GAGAAAGTCGGCCGAGCGCTGCGGGAGGAGAGCGCTGTGTTTGTGGGGTTTGGGGGGGGGGCCCAAAAAAAAATCTTGCACCAGGGCCCTTTGTTCCTTAGCTCCGCCACTGCATTCTTCATATCATGTCTGTCCCTGCTATGATTTACAATACAAGAACATCATTGCAAGCGTTAATAACATTTTTCTTTGGAGTTCTTCTTTAACTGCAAAACCAGCTGTTATGAGGATGGGCTAAAATGTTATGTTCTTATGGTATTTTCTCCTCTGGTCGAATGTCCTTCAAATCTTATAAGCAGTAGGGAAGCGGGAAAATACAACATTATAGCCACTAGATGGCGCAAAAGATCCATCCATTTTTTTTAGAGTGTATTTGTTTAACACTCTTACTTTTTGCCCTCAGTCACACGAAAAACGGCCGGCCCGTACAGATCCGTGCTGCGTGCACGGCTGTATCAGGCTGCTCCCGGGAAGGACGGGTGCTGACTGTGATTACACGCAGCAGCCTGTCCTTCTCTATGGGAGTATGCGGCCGTACGCATCCGTACGCTCACCCGAACTGCACGTCCGTGCGGGTGCAGGTATCCGTACTTGTACGCTGACAGAATGGATCCTGTTTGTGTCTGAGCAGGGACACCGGCACTCGCTCGGACGTGCAGTTCGGGTGAGCGTAGGGCGGCATACTCCCATAGAGAAAGACAGGCTGCTGCGTACAAATCACACACAGCACCTGTCCTTCCCTGGAGTGGCCCTATATGGCCATGCACGCAGCATGGATCCGTATGGGCCGGCCGTTTATCGTGTGAATGAGGGCTATTCGAGTTTGTACACTTTTTTGGCATATACATGATGTAAGTTGAGTTTTTCCATGTATATCTTATCTAAGAGGGTACATAATAATTATTTTGTAGTGTCAATTTGGAGAGTTGCTTAAGCTGGATATCACTATTAAGATAACTATTGGAATTGATTGATTGTTCGGTGGCCACCTTTTTCCCTCAAGCCTTAAAAAGTTGAAAACCAATTACTGGTGTTTGAAAACACGCACACAATGACTTCCTTAACAATTAACAAAACTTCTCTCCAACCTCCATTCTTTCTAAATTCTTCTGCAAGATAGTGGGCTTCCTCCTGTATACGTTCCTCTATGCTTCTCTTCCCCACGCCAAAATTTCTGAGAGTAGACAGTGAGAATCGACGCATCAGCTTCCAGCGCTCCCCATTGCTGAGAATGAGTCCTGTTACCAATGTATAATGTATATTATGTCACTATTTGTAACATTATTCAGGAGAGAGAGACAGAGCGATAGAGAGACAGGAGTCAGGCAGAGACAGGAGTCAGGCAGAGACAGGAGTCAGGCAGAGACAGGAGTCAGGCAGAGGCAGGAGTCAGACAGAGATTACAATCTAAAAAGTAGAGGTAAGTAGTACAAAAGGCTCTAATTGAGGGATGAGCTGACACAGGAAGCCAAAGTGCAGCTTTCAGGTGGAGTCAGGATGGACATTACAGAAAAGATGGATTTTGAGGGATCTTCTATAGGAGAAGAAAATAGATGAGCAGACACATTGTGGTAGAACGTTCCAGATAATGGGAGAGGCTCTGGTAGGGTTGCCACCTGTCCAGGATTCACCCGGACAGTTCGGGTTTTGGATGCTGTGTCCGGGTTTCATGGCAGCAGAAACCCGGACACAAGATGTCAGGCAGACAGGGGCAACCAAAATTAAGATAGGGGCTACTGGCCTCCCCACTGTACAGTCTCGACTGATATTTACCTATGAATGGGTGGCGCTATTTACATATGAATAAGCCACGACTCAAAAAAAATGTCTGCTCGTCGCTAGAGTGTTCGGGTTTTGCTTGAAGAAAAGGTGGCAACCCTTGGCTCTGGAGAAGTCTTTAAGGTGAGCATAGGGTCGCTTATGAGAAATGTCAGGTTACAAATATACAGGGATACCAAAACAAACTGATTTATTAACACAAAATTGGTAATTCAATAAACAATGCAGGGAGATAGCTGTATAGTGCAGTACTGCAAGGCAACCAAACAGAACTTATTCAGGTCCCCACCTAAATAACAGATTAGACCATACTGCACAAACGTCATATAAACCCTTCTGTAGGGGTGGGTGCAAAGCTAAACGGAGGGTATATGGAGTCCTTTATCAAGGTGGCAAGCAAATCTCTTAATCATATAAGGACAATGATGTCACCAGCATCATACCCCTGGGTTTACATGCAGCTACGGCATGGGAATGCCCGTCACAGGATACTGGGCAGGCACTGACAGCTTCCTTCAAGGTTTAGATTAGGGCTGCAGCTAACGATTATTTTCACAATCGATTAGTTGCCTGATTTTTTTTCTATTAGTTGTAATAAATCACTCTCTCGCTCTCTCTCTCTCTCTCGTTGTTAACTATTCTCATAAACGATTATTATCGATTTAATCGATTTGTTGTTGCAGTCCTAGTTGAGGAAAAAAGAACACAGGTTTGGGCCAGCCGGGGCTGTACCGAAGCTCATCCTTCATGAAGAGGAACAAAAGGCAGTCATGTTTATAATCCAATATGGTTGGCAAACATTGCTCCCTCCATAGAAGAGGAGCTTCCCAGGAACAGGATGTGCCTTTTGCACAGGATTACCAAACAAAAATAAAAGGAAAAAGCCTGAAAAGAGAAAACAACTGATGCCGCCACTACATATGAGGACTGGGTAGCTGCAACATCATTGATTTTTTGTTTTCAGGTTTAGATACATTTCAAAAATACTGAAAAAGGTCAATTTACTCACCATAGCCTTTGAAGAGCAGATCTCCAAGTTCTGATGGACCTCTAATACCAAATATATCCCCATGATCTATCAGAGCTTCTTTCACACAGTCATAACCAGACAAAACCACAGTAGGTACGTTTGATAGGTAGATGGTGAACACAGGGCCATAGGTCTCACTCAGCTAGAGGACAGACATACAAAAGGTATAAGCATACACTGTAAAGGTTTTCTAATGGCACAAGGCACAGCAAGTTACAATCTAATTGGGTGTCATGGCGTACTTTGCACAATTGTTCTTGTTGTCTAGCATGTTAGAATTAAGTAAAATGATATTGCTGCTGATTGATGAACTCCAGACCTGCCCCTTAATACACAGCTGGAGATGTTTGACATGCCGAAGGCTTCGTATGTATTCCCATCCAGTCCTGCCATTTTCACAGCCCTGCCAGAAAGCTACATTTACAATGGGATATTTGGGTTTCCAAAAGGCACTTGGTGTGCACAAAGTGGATTTATATCTTTTATAGCTTTTGAGGAATATTTTTAAAGGAATTTTTGAATGAAGTTCAGCTTTAATGTCAGTGAACTCTGGGGGGGGCGTGTCCAGACTGCCGACATGGACGGACGCTAAACCCGCTGCTCCGGTCCCACAATTCTCCTACAGCCATCGTGCTCGCTCACTCCCAGCCGTTTTTGCTTCCCAGCGCCTCCGATCCTCTCTCCACGAAAATGGTCGAAATAGGGGAACAGAGAGAGATCCGTCTCCGGAGAGGCTGGCAAGATTCCAGAGGACCCAAGATGGCGGCGGTGATCATGCGGCCTCCACCCCTGCACACTCATCCTCAGACCGCACGAAGCCTCCGGTCCCTAGTCGCACTGGATTAAGTAAGCAGGGCACACAGAAGGGGTCAGGGATGGCTCCACATCAGGGGGCTGTGGTGCATGGCTTGCACACCCCCCCAGGCACGCCCCGGGCCTACTCAGCTCCCTCTCCTTCAGACAAGCCTGCCATGGGGATGGGGGATGGGGTCCCGCCCGCAGCTGCATCCGACAGTGCCGAGCCTACTCTTTTACAGCTAATGGAGGCAAGACTGTAAAACAACCCTTGCTTCACAAATTGAAGGGGTGCATGTGGATCTCTCGTTTCTGAAACATGATGTACAGGGCCTGCGGGAAAGGGTTACCGAAACTGAGGTCAGAATTAACACCTTAGAGGACACTGTCTCTCCACTTACTAGAGATACCACTGTGCTGCAAAAGGAGCTTACAGCCTGCAAAGCTAGTTTATCCAAAATTGACTGCGCTAGGAAGGTGAATAAAATTTAATTAAATTAAAGTACCAGCTGCAACAATGTGTATCAGTGTGATCAGATGTGAACTAGTATGTTGCGCTTGGTTAAAATCTCTTACGTGCGATTTTGTCTCAATATTTCATTGTGATAATGTAATCTTTAAAACACATAAGTGATTTATATCATAGAGTGAAATAAAGAATTAAATATATATTAAATAAACATGCAAGTGAATAATACCAATTAATAAGCCTTATCTCATCTTATTAGCCTGCAAAGCTAAGTTGGATGATCTGGAGAATCGCTCTAGACGCAATAACCTCCGTTTTGTGGGATTCCCTGAAAAATCGGAAGGGCCTACTCCTGAATTGTTCCTGCAAGATTGGTTCCGTGAAGTGTTTCCTGATTTTGCTCCGTCTGTTGCGTTTGCTATTGAAAGAGCGCACCGCACTCCTCCTTCTGCACCCCCTCCTGGATCATCGCCCAGGCCACTGATTGCTAAGCTTCTCAGCTTTAGAGATAAGGTTGCGGTGCTTCGGGCCTCTCGTGCTGCTGGGGAACTTTTCTACAATGGCGGTCGGGTTTTCATCTTTCCTGATTTTTCTGCGGAAGTGCAGCGCCAGAGGTCATTATTCCTGGAAATTAAAAAACGCCTCCGTCAGGAAGGTGTATCGTACGCCATGCTGTATCCTGCTAAACTACGAGTGGCGTCGGTGGTACAACTCACTTTTTCTCTACTCCTATTGAAGTATCCAACTGGTTGGATGGTAAAGGTATCCCTCAATGGAGACGGCGCCGCAATGATGATCGTTGAACAGTCTGAGTATAACTGACAGTTCTCCTTAACATACCAGGTTCAGCACTGTGCACCCTGCAGATTGCCTTAATTGCATGTCCTGCTTTTGTTACTAATGTCTATGCCTTAATGGATTTCTCACAGTTTTATGTGGTCCTACTCTGTCCCTCATTGGGTTGTCCATTTCTCCTCACAGGGAGTGAGCTATTTTGCACCCTTCTGGTGAGGACCTGGGTTATTTAGGACGGGTCCTGATCAGACTGGTTGCGCCCCTGCCGAGTTGGCTTTGTTCTGACTTAGGGTATACTTTTGTTTAGGGCCTGGGCTTGTTAGGTTTGGGTTAACAAGTAGGGTGAGATGGGAATTGTAGTTGGTGGGGACCGGGCTGGTGGATGTTTGCAGATCTGTGAGGAGGTGTAACCAGGGTCATATGAGGTGTAGGACTGCCTGTATGGATGGTGCTGGCCGCTGGATGAGGCCAGTTAATGTGAACCTGGATGCTGTGTGGATAAGGGGCGGAGCCTGTATCGCTCGCTGACAAACGGCGAGTGCTGACAAGCGGCGAGTGTCCGGGGGAAGCCGGTGATTAGGGTGGTTGCCTGGAGATGGATGCTGAGGTCATGGAAGCGGGTGGGAGTGGTGAGACTACACCGCCCGAGGGCACGAGCAGGGAGCCCGGAACAACGAGCGATGTGTCTGTGGGGTGGAGCGGGTGGGAGCGAGAAAAACGGAGGTGTAGGAGGTCTGAAGTGACAATGTCAAGCTGGCTACGCGTTTCGAAGAGCTGATCTTTTTCAAGCCAAAGAGTGAGGGTGAGCCCTCACTCTTTGGCTTGGGGTGACACACACCCCTCTGAAGAAGCCCCTGAGTGGGGAGGAAACGCGTCAGGGTTATGTGTGCCAACAACTTCTCATCCCGCACATCAGCCGCGGCAGTATCACTGTTAGCCCGGGCTTTGACGGTGCGGAGACGGAGCTCAGTCGGCCGGGATTTGATTAGAGTCCAGCCTGCATCGGAATCCCCAACTTATCCAGCAGAGTCTGAGTGAAACGACCGGACGACAGCTTGCTGTATTTTGCACAATCATCGTACTGGGAACCGTCTACCTTTGAGACCCCTGCATATACCTTTTTGCTTTGTTTATTGTGCGGCCGCACACATCTACACGGAAATGCTTTTGGGTTAGCTCTCAAATTTGAAATTCGAGGCCGAGGGCCAGCGAGAGCCCCAAGCAGGGGAAAGGCAAGGGCGCTTGCATCTCTAGCCCTGCCTATCTATCCCCACCTCCGGATCCCAATTACAATTACCTATTGAAGCAAACATATCATCCAGCATTGTGGAACTCGAGCAGGACTGTCTCTCCCTGAGCTCCCTGAGCAACATGAGCTGTGAGTAACCTGGGATACATTGTACCCGTACATGAGATATTTATATAGTAGGTGGCAACTCTTTATTACCACATCATCTGGAGTGCAGACCACCCATGATTCCTATATTACTGTTACCCTAGGGAAGTTTTTTAACTGTTTTTAAATGTCTTGTTGTGGATGTATTGTTTAAATTTTTCTATGATTAAATATTCAAATTGTTAAATCACGTATTTTCTACCTGTTTACTGAACCAGCTCCGAGTAAGGGATTTCTATTTTCTTGGGGACACTTCATATTTTTAATTCCCTTATTTGGTTTTGCCAAGTCACCACGTGGTAGTAGCGCTTCTGTACTCCTTGTTTCTTTTCCTGATAGCAAACGTCGGACACCCCGGTCCGCATTTCTAAGGAGCCGCACACCAAGCACTTTAATCCACACTCATACACCCTCACCTTAGTGTTAGCGCTTCATCAGGGGACATTTCTCCCAATTTTTCTTTGATTTTCTTTATAGACATCGGCCGCATGTGGTGTGTCTACAAGAAACCCATCTGATGGGCTCTAAAGTAATGGCTCTAAAGAAACACTGGGTGGCCAAATCCTTTAACGCCATATACTCTTCGTATTCTAGAGGTGTGTCGATTTTAATAGACAAGTCCCTTGCTTCTGAGATCCACCAGATTAAGACGGATCCCCTCGGGAGATATGTCATTGTTCACATGATCATAGATGGAGTCCCTCTGTGTACCTTCCACCCCCACCCCCAGATACTGATCTTTTACACACCATTACTGTGGCGGCATTGGGTATGCCCTTGGCCCCCCTGCTACTGCTGGGAGACTTTAACTCCGTCCCAAACCTGGCAGAGGATAGAATGGGGGGCACGGGTCGCCCGTGTCCTGGTTTTTCTACTTGAATTGATAGCTTTGGGCTTATTGATCTGTGGCGGTGGAAGTATCCGAATTCCAGTGTCTACTCATGTCATTCTGCTACACACAGGACTCTCTCCAGAATAGACTTGGCGTTTGGTACTCCTACTGTACTTCGTTGGTTACATGCTATAGGCTACCTTCCGAGAGGTATTTCAGATCATGGTCCCTTGTCGCTTGAACTCTGCTGGGGCAATTCCTTTTCCTTGCGAGCATGGGGGATGAATTCAGCCTGGCTGTCTGAGACATTGGTAGCAGACGCCTGCACACAGACTATAGGCCATTACTGGGAAGATAACGCCTCTGTGCCTTCTTCTTCCCTTAAATGGGAAGCCTTTAAACCTACACTCAGGGGGTCTTTTATGGCCGCTGAGGGTGCTGCCTGCAGACTTAAAGCAGAATCCCTAGATACCCTTGAGCAGGCTCCGTGTGGCGCGGAAGCTGTCTATGTTTCTGACCCCTCCACTGAAGCCTACAGGGCCTGGGTGGACAAAAAACAGGAGTATGACTTGATCCTCTTGGATGGTACGAAAAAGAACATGCTGCATACCCAGCAGAAAGTAATTTGAATTTGGCAACAAGGCGGGTAGACTTCTTGCAAATTTTACAAGACCTGAATATAACCCTACTTCAATTACCCGTATTGTTTTCTCGACAGGCCGTGTTGTCACTGCCTCTCAGGACATCATGGATGCCTTCTTATCCTTCTATGGGGATCTGTACACCTCCAGAACCACATACACGGATGAGGACTTAGACTCGTATCTCTCTCAGGTTTCTGTCCCGTGCCTGTGCCCGGGGTCTCGGGAGGAGCTGGACTCCCCCCTCACTATTGAGGACATAGAAGCAGCGCTTTCACAATTCCCTACCAAGAAAACCCCGGGCCTTGATGGGCTTCCGATAGAGTGGTAATCTGTTTATAGACAGGAGTTGGATCCGCGCCTTCTGGAGGTTTACAATGAGGCATTTGAGGAGGGCATTCTCCCCCCTTCAATGCGTGAGGCTCTTATAATTCTGATTTTGAAGCCCGGTAAGGACCCCACTAAATGTGACTCATATCGCCCTATCTCCCTGATCAATGTTGATGCCAAGATTCTAGCAAAAATACTGGCAATGCATATTAATAAGCATATCTGGTCTTTGATTAACAGTGATCAGGCGGGTTTTATGCCGGGCCGCTCAACCAGAATAAATATTCGTAGAATTACAAGCCTTCAATCCTCCTACCCCACGATGGAGGGGAGGGCCTTGATATATCTGGATACGCATAAGGCGTTTGACAGTGTAGAATGGCCTTATCTGTTGAAGACGCTGCACCTCTTTGGGTTTGGTCCTCGTATAATACATTGGGTTAGGATTCTCTACAACTCCCCACTGGCTAGGTTAAGGGTCAATAAGGATATTTTCTCTCCCTTTACTATATCTAGGGGGACTAGACAGGGTTGTCCTCTTTCACCCATCCTCTTTGCTTTGGCCATTGAGCCATTGGCGGCCTTGATAAGGGATTCTGAGTCAATAGGTGGCCTGAAGGTATGTGGCCTGGATGAGCGGGTTTCACTATATGCGGATGACACTCTGATTTACTTGTCTGATCCCAATGACTCCTTGGCTCACTTGCTTCAAATGTTGGTGGGAAACGCCTGCCGGAGGCGGCCATACTCACCACGTTTGAATCCCTCCAAAATATTATCTACAGAGGAGTCTCTGGTTCCCGTTCAGGTACTGCCCTTATTTCTGTGACTCTTCGTATCCTGAAATATATCATTAGATGGCTGTCTGTGGAGGCTTGGCCCCACTCTCCTAACTCACCTATATGGGGCAATCCTTCCTTCCCGGAACTGCAGCGCCTCCCATCGGCTGCCGTCTGGTCCTCGAAGGGCGTTAAATCCCTCTCACATATATTTAGGAACGGAGAGATGCTCACCTTTCCACAACTCAGGGAGGAGCTACAGCTCCCTCCTGCTGCTCTCTTAGCGTACCTTCAATTATCAAATGCAGTTCGTGCCCAATTTGGATCGACTTCGTTGCTCCCAATCCAGTCTCCTTTGGAAATGATGCTACGTAGAGATACTTCCATTAAACTGGTATCGACTTATTATGCCGAACTTATGGCAACTAGGTCGTCCAGGTTTGAAAAAAGCAAAGCAAAATGGCAGGCCCTTCTCCCAGACCTTGATGGGGACGATTGTAGTGATTTTGAAAACACATACATGTCTTCTATAATCGCCTCTAGAGATAAAATTTTACAAGTGAAATGTTTTTATCAGGTCTATCATATCCCATCCCTTCTACATACCTTAGGTCTCCGCCCCACCCCGCGGTGCTTTAAGCGCTGCGGTCAAAGGGCAGATTTTTTTCACTCCTTTTGGTCTTGTCCACATATCCATTCGTACTGGTCAGCGATCACCGCTTTTATGGAGACTGGCTTGGGTTTTCCCAATATATGCAATCCCACTTTCTTTTTGGTGAACTGATGTTGGATGCTAGGGCCCAGACCCGCATCCGGATACTTTTGTTCAACACTAAGAAGGCCATCCTTTTGGTATGGGCTGGGCCCGCGCCCCCCTCCCTGGGTTGCTGGAAAAAAACTGGTCAATCAGTCACTACCGTATAAGCGCAGAGGGGTAGCCCAGATCGTTTTGAACGTGTCTGGGGACCATGGCTCTCCTCTTCTGCTACAACAACGGATCCGGTATAATGTTACTTCGTGCCCTAGTATAGAACCAGGAGGTCCAGGTTCCTCTAAAGGCGCTCCATATTCATTGTGTAATGGTGTGATGCCGTGCATTTACTATGCCTGTATTGAGACTGTAATGCATCTGTGTACTGAGACTGTGAACTAATTATGACTGTTTTTTTGTTTCTCTTTGTTTGCTTTTGTTTCTTTTTTATTTCACTGGGTATGCTACCTGGGTTTTTCCCTCTGTGTGGGAAATGTTTGTAACCTTTTGCTAACTTGGAAAAATAATAAAAAGCATCGTCAAAAAAAAAAAAAAAAATCAGTTAACTCTTGGAAAGAGTTTAAAGAGGAAGTGGTTAAAAAAAAAAAAAATGTTGACAAGCAGCTTTGTTGGCTGAAGGGACTGTGTACTGTTTGTGTAAAGGCTTAAAAAGTGTTAACTAGATTTAATAAATGAAAGTCATAATTACTTGTACTCTTTATAATGTATTTCACTCACCTTCACCAAAGACTGGGGCATTTCCTTGGGACTCACATACATCATGGTGCCCAGGACGGGTACTGGGGATGGTCCGGGGGGCATATTTTTCCTCTTCAGTTTTCTCCTCCATGTGAAGACATAAACGATGAGGCTGATACAAAGAGCCAGGAGAAAAGTACCTAACACCCCCATCTCCATTGCCAGTCCAGATCTGCTGCCGGAATAGGAAAGTGTTACACAAACAGCAACGACTACTCCAGATAAATGCGTGCTAAGCAAGAATGAACCGGGAGTGTCATCTATAACCTGTGACTTCTATAGCTATCAGTTGAATATATGAGATCACACAGAGGACAGGAGATAGGTGCAACATCACACAGCTCTTAATAGGAGAGGAGAGAGGAGAGGAGAGGAGAGGGGAGAGAGAGGAGAGAGAGAGGAGAGGGGAGAGAGAGAGAGGAGAGGGGAGAGAGAGGAGAGGGGAGAGAGAGTAGAGGAGAGAGAGAGTGAGGAGAGGGGAGAGAGAGGAGAAGGGAGAGAGAGAGAGAGGAGAGGAGAGAGAGGAGAGGAGAGAGAGGAGAGAGAGGAGAGAGAGAGATTCCAGGGAAATAATTATTCCAGGGGAAACTATATCAGAGAAAGGAGACATGATATAGCAAACTCACTTCCAGAGACTCTCATCTCTCATCCCGGACTTTACCTCTATAGAAGAGACGAGGAGACTCCGCATTGTACTGGGAGAAGAGGAGCCGACGGTGAAAATATCTGCTCAATACGTCACAGAATGTCACCGACAGAGGAACATGAGAGATCCTATTAGCATGGTTTATTGCAAACATGTACATGCTTTAGGGCTGTAGATACTGAAAGAGGCCATGGCAGTGCACTTGCTGAAAGTGAGTACCAAGTAGAACGGTCTGTTACAATATCACATGATCACACTAAAAATACCCACAACCTGATCTGGGAATAGTGGGTGCGATTCAAAAAAGCATTTGCAACAATTCTCTGTCGGCATGCTCACTTTAAAAAGCCTTATTCAGGGGTAGGCAACCTCAGCACCCCAGCTTTTGTGGAACTACAACTCCCATGAGTCATTGCAAGGCTCACAGGCATAACTACCAGAGGCATGATAGGATTAATAGTTTCAGCACAGCTGGAGTGCCAAGGTTGCCTACCCTTGACCTAATTAGTGAAAGTCTTGAAACAGTGTCATTAAGAGTTCTGACATGTGACAGATTCACATAGTTCTTATAGGCGTCACTTTTACAATGGGTCGCATTGGCTGCCACTTTATCAAAAAGATTCCCCGATTTGCAGATCCGTGCCTGGGCAGACCGGAAGCAGATCTGCGACTAATATCTGTGCTAAATATTGGTTTCTCAGGGCACAGAAGCCACGACATTCCTGCAACCAATTGCATAAGAGAACTATGGAAGCTGCCCTTGCTGACTACCTCTTGATAATGCTAGTTGCCTGGTTGGCATGCTGAGCCAAGTATGCAGATCGCCAGCCCTGACTTCCCAAGCCAGAAATCAGAAAAGGTTGTCACCTTTCAGAAGAAATCATACAGATCACTGCGGCGTAGATCTTAGAGGTGTTGTCTGATTCACACAACATTCAGTGTGTTCGCACTGGATTGCATAATTAAAGCCTCCCGCGTTCTGGGGCGGGAAAGGGCGTAGTCGTGGTGCCATTCAAGTCAATGGCACCGCAGCCACGCCTCCCGTCCGCAGTGCGATTGCTTGTACCAGAACGCATGGCACAGCAATGCCCGCGGTCTGCTGCGGTGCGATCGCAAACAATAGTGCATGCAATATATTTTGGATCATGCTGCACCGGACTGCGGGCATTGCTGTGTCATGCATTCTGGTGTGGAAGAGTGCACTCCCGCCCCAAAATGCAGGGAGGCTTGCTCTATGCGATCCAGTGCATTCCGGCCACAGACCATGCTGGAACGCACTGGATGTAGGTAGTGTGAACAAGCCCTTAAAAGGGATTCGCCATCATACATAAGGCTGGTTGACAGTAGTGCGATTGGGTCGAGAGGGGGTGTTAGTCTCAGATTTGTGTGGTCTTGGCTGGGCAAACTCAGGAAACTTGGGTTCGTTCCAGGCCCATGCCACGATTACAGGTTTCCTTTTAAATGTTATCACTCTATTAAAAAACATTTCACCAATACAGCTCTGACCACACTGCATTTTCCAGTGTCTCTGCTCTACATTCAAACAATAAGTCAAACTCTGTGAATACAAGTTGGAGGAAGCTGAGACTACAGCACAGTCTGAGTTATAGCTTACAGATCTGGGCTCTTGGGAGGAAGCAGTTCATAGAAATGAGGTTGGGTGTAGTATGAGCCTGCAGCCTGTCCTCTGTACACAGACTTAAGTCACACAAAGGAGGAAGAGCCAACACTCACCTGAAGTCCGATCTCTGCCAGGTACACAGAATGGGCTGATTTTGCTGTGTGAGGGAGGAGCAGAACTCCCTAATCCCTGTACATAGAAACAAGTACAATGGGCATTGTTAGTCCAGCTTCCAGCCCTCCTCATGTGGGAGGAACAGCCATATATCACACTGCATGTATGTTGTACATTCTGTTGCACACACAGCATACCTCCCAGACAGGAAAAAGAGACAGCTACTAGTGGAAATATAAGAAGTGCACCTGATACATCTCTAATTATACAGAGCAGAACAAATGGCAGGCTTTGGTGCATTTACCGAAGGTCAACAAAGAATACTACAAACAAACATGTACACAGCACGGTGGCTTAGTGGTTAGCACTACTGCCTTGCAGCCCTAGAGGTCTTGAGTCCTGATCAAGACACTATGTGGGCAAAGAAAATGCATGTTATCTCTGTGCTTGCATGGGTTCCCTTTGGGTATATTAGGGCAATGAAAGAAAAACATAGAAAAGATTAGCCATGTGTTGTTAAAATTAGGGATGCATCAATATCAGTATCCCATTAAGGAAGTCAGGCAGCGTGTAAAGACTTGCCATCTAGCTTCCTGATTAGCAGGGAAGCCGTCCCCATGCTTTTCATCATTAGGTGACAAGAAAGCATGGAGCTGGCTTTCTGGCCAATCAGGAAGTTGGGCGACGTGTAATGACGCTGAGTCCGGCTTCCTAATTGGCCGAGAAGCCGCCTCCGTGCTCCCTCGTCATGAGTGACAAGGGAGCTGTCACTGCTAGTTCCGCCCAAATGTTACTGGCATCTGTCAAAATGCTATTATCTGGCGGGTGTTGGTCACAGTGATGTTTTGTTTTTTTGTTTTTTTCAATAAAAGACTTAACATGTCTTTTGTTTTCTTTCCAAATAAAGGATTTTTTCAAAAGTCTGGACTTTTTAGTTACAATTTGTCGCCCCCCCCTTACTCATTCACAAGTGGGAATGCATTTGAACACCCTAATTATTAACAAAAATGTATCTTATTTGTGTATCACTCGGCTGTAGATCCTCAAATCATCTCTGAATTGGTGCTGACACTGTCCTTCCTTCTGGAGGGTGAATACTTTTGGTCCCCATAGAGAACCTCTATGAATAAGCCTACGGGTGAAACATGTGAGAGGTTGTAGCTGGTTAGGGTGTGCAGTGCTGGTATTTTTTGCTTTATACACTTTTATTCACTGTTATACTGGATTTGCTGTGAATTTCAATAAAGACTGAAGTATTGGGAATCTCTGGATAGTGCGGTCTGTTCGTATACTACAGCCAGTGAAATATTGTCTTTTTTCTGTGGAGAGCAGATTTTGGCAGCCTGCCAACTCTCTAATGTAAATAAACAGAAGGTGTTTCTAAGCTGTCAGAAACGTAAAAAACAAACTCTAGAGTCTTTGTTGTGATCTTTAAGGATCTTTGAGAAAGAGTAACATCACAAAGCAGGCTACAAAGATGAGTGGGGGCTTATTTTAAAGCTGTTTTACGGTGTGCTAAGAATATGTAAACAATTTACTGATAATAGTCTGGGCACAGGTGCACTTTAAAGAAAACCTGTAGTTAGGATGTTTGTTGCATTAGGCATTGCTGACCTCTTGTCCTTAAAATACTAGTTCTCTGGCTGCCGTCATGCTGATCCAATGACTTCTGTACTTTCCAAATCAAGTCAAGTATACAGGATCAGGAGTCCTGACTTTCTAACCTACGTGCTTGTTCCAGGTCATTGAAATATTGAACTCCAAGACAGCCAGGCAACGGTAGGTCAACAATGGCATCCTCTGTATGTCTCTCAGCTCAGGTTTCCTTTAAAGTGATTATATTTATTGACTTACACAGTAGATAAAAAATCCAAGCTTTGAAATTTGCACACCGATGCTTTTGTGCTGCTCCCAACCAATGCTCCCAGCCTTCCAAACCAATGCGTCCACCTGTACCAGCCCTGAACTAGTGTGCTCACAGAGCATACATGTTTCTCTCAAGGAGACAGAGGGCCAAGAAATATACCTTTGGATTACCAATAAGGAAGCAACAACGATCATTCCTACAAGATAACTATTTACTCAGCAGTGATCTCTCAGGCTGGTCATACAATGTTAAAATTTTGCCTTGTCCTGCTGAATCAGCTGAAATTCAAGTTCCTCTTCAGGAACCACCCATTCCACAAAAGTAGACTTTTCAAGGTTGATGGAGCCGGTCCGTCAATCAGATGAAGTCACTGTTCCTGTATTCTGGAAGGAGCACACACACCGCTGTCAGAATACTATAGTCTAGTGTGGGGGTTTCCCAAATTCACACCTGCGCATTCCATGAACACGCACCAAACGCACACATAAATGCGTGCTTTAATGCACTTTGATAAAAATGTGGTGTTTTTTTTTTTCTTACCTCTTTGCTCAATATTGCTCAATAAAAACAAACCAGAGGTTATAGTAGATCTCCACTTAACGAATAACTAAAAAAAAAGAAATTGGGTCAGAATTTAATGTCAAGAAATAAGATCAAAGAACAAGCATGCCAATGGAGCAAGCTGAAAGATATATAAGCCGAGCAGAAAGTTTTGAGATAGTAGGAGACAATTATTATAATTTTAAAATGTGATTTTAATGATGTTTTAATGGTTTTAATGAGAATAGGAATACAAACAAATGTAAAAAAAATATAATGTAGTTCCTCTTACTGGTACCTTTAAAATCAAATCTATTAAATTATGTTTGTAAAAAGGTATAGCAGGGGATGCTGTGCAGTACCTATGTATCA